TCCATACTGCAGACCATATTTCTCTTTTTTCTCGGAACTGGACGACCATCTCCTCAGACGCATGGGTATTGCAAACGGTTCGGGGTTATGTCATTGACCTTGTCGATCTTCCCCACCAGACGGACCCACCCCAACCTATCAATTACTCCGCAGAAGACTCCGGACATCGAAGGTCAGGAACTCCACGCATTTTCAGCAAAATGTTCCTGGTAAACAAGAAAACCGGTGACTTTCACCATGTTATCAACCTCCGAAAGCTCAACGCTCATGTGGTGTGTCACCACTTCAAGATGGAGAGCATCCACCTCTTAAGAGATCTTCTTCAGGGCGTAAATTGGTTCACGAGGTTGGATCTCAAAATGCGTACCTGTCGGTACCCGTCCACCCTTCCTGTTGTCGGTTCCTTCGATTCATGTGGTGTGACCCCCCCTTGGCAGTTCACATGCCTCTCCTTCGGCCTCAGCATGGCTCCATGGTGTTTCACCTAGCTGCCGAAGCCGGTGGTTACTGAGGCATTCGATGCATTATCTACCTGGACAACCTCCTACTATTCTGCTCTGACAGGTACAGACTAACACACACTCTATACTGTGGATCTGCTGGAATCACTGGGGTTTGTGGTAAACCGCCTGAAATTGGCAAAGACCCTCAAGGCGGAATACCTACCAGGAGAGACGAATCTCACGGAGGACTGGTTCTCCCGACATTTGCGAGACCACAGCGATTGGATAATGGATCCCCAAATTTTCAGCATCCTTTCAGATCTGAGAGGCCCATTTCACCTGGATTGTTTGCATCTTGCAATAACAGACAGACTCCAGACTTCTTCAGCTGGCTCCCAGACCCGGAGAGCAAGGCTGTGGATGCTTTCCTGTGAACGTGGCCAACCACCGGAGCATACGTGTTTCCCCCCTTTGTCATGATAGCGAGGACACTCCAGTATCTGAGGATCCAACAAGTATCTCTGTTACTCATCACTCCCCTGTGGCAGAGTCAACCATGGTTCCCAGACCTACTGGCATTATCCAGTGCAGATCCTCTCCTACTACCGTCCTACCCTGCGCTCCTCAGGACCCGAAGGGGAACCCTCACACGTTGCTCCTGGATGATCGTCTACCCCTGGTGGCTTGGAATCTTTCCGGGATGCCTGGCAGATCGGAGAACTATCGCAGGCTGCTCGGGACTCGTGAGCACTGGAGCCAAGACAATGCTATCTCTCTGCATGGACCTCCTGGTCTGCTTGGTGCATGGAACGGAAGCTGAATCTGTTTACGGTCCCTATGTCTTCCATTTTGAACTTTTTATCCCCTGTTTTCCTCAGGTCGGTCTTACAATCAATGTGGCGTGCTCTGCGACACAAAACCCAATTCAGGGGATCCTAATGGGTAAAGACCCGCTGGCATGTCGGTTACTGAGAGGCATTTGCCTGCAACGACCCCCTGGCTCCAAATACTGGCGTTTGTGGGACGTCAACGTCGTCCTCGGTTTTTTGAGAGCCTGGCCTCCTAATAACAGGCTTTCTCTTTGCCAACTTTCGGCCAAATTTACGTTTTTACTTTGCCTCGTCTCCTTCCGAAGGGTGTTGGATGTACGGGCGTTTGATGTCAACGCGTTTTCAGTATCTCCCGACGGAATCACCTTTAGGATCTCCTGTCGCAAGAAATCGGATTGGACATTGGTCTTTTACCCCTTTTTCATTGCAGACCCTCAGTTGTGTGTAGTTTTGACCTTACAGCGATATGGGGAAGTTACATCTCCACTCCAAGCCTCTACCTCCGGTCAACTGCTGATGTCCTACGTTATGATGGGTTTTGTCTCTAGTGGGCATAGATACATCATTCAGGGCTCATTCTGTGCGCTGTGCGGCTGCCTCTTAGGTTTTCTCGGCGGGGCATCGCTGTCGAATATCATAAGTACAGCAGACTGATCTTGTTAGTACACGTTTCAGACGTTTTATTTTTGGCCGGTTGATAGTGCAGCCTTTTGTCTCCTACATCAGTGTTAAAAACGCCTTCTGTCATGTGGTAAAATTGAAGATTATGCTAGCTTTAGTGCACTTATAATCTTAATTTTAATAATGACAAGACGATATGGGATCTCCTTGGATCCTTCAGGGAACTTTTTTCTATTGTCCTACCTTCATGACTTTCTTTCCATTTACCCTTCCTTCTTCAGTGGTGTAATTCCCTATCTTTGTTTGTAGACTAGTTTTAATATTTTTATGTCTACTGTAATAGTAATCATATCGGTGTGTTGGTTTACCTAGTCTATTATTTAATGTCATATGAGTATTTTAATATCTTCAATCGATGGATTACTTCTTTGTTTTTCATTGTCTCGAGAATAGTGCCTAACCTATACCACATTCTCTTTTCAGTTTAATTCGCTGTGGGACTCTGTTTCGTTTCAGACTTGGTCTAACTGGATTATCGTCCGCCAATGATGGATATCTGATGTTCCTGTTATGGTGTTGAACTTTGTCCGTCTGCGATGTCGCTTGCTGAAAGAGGAGTAGGAGCCTACTCACTGCGGATACTATACTTCCTTCTGCATTTTGATTGGTTCTTGTTTATACGTTTTTTCTGTGCTGCTCTGGAAGTTAGTAAAGAGAGTTCATGCAAAATACTCGCCTCCTGTCATTACTAAAATTAAGATTAAAAGTACACTAAAGCTAACAACAACACATTGCTGGGTTTGTTAACGCTGCACTTTGTTTCAATTTCAACAGCGTCATTTTACGCCGCTTTTACCATTAAATGTGGCATTTCCACAGAACCCGAGGATTTAGTCACAAAACAGTGACTGTTCCTGAACTGAAAATTCAGTTTGTAAAATCCTAACTAAAGTAAGCTGTGCCTAATGTTCACTTGGATTTTTTTTTCCAAATCAGCTTCCGTGAATATACTTTAGTGATGAGATAGAAACAATTTGTTGACATGTTAAAAGAACAGGTGATGTGACTACCCATCTAGTTACTTACTTTTTTTTTATTCATATGGTCAGCAAACTGTGTGTCAGCAGGTAACTGTTACAGTGTAATTATTATTATTTTATTATTTATTAATCACAGTATTATTTTGTAACGGGCATGTTTGTGCATCGAGATTTGCTAAAAAACTATCCTCCGGTGCTTGTGAAGTGAAGCTGATCTGACAATGAAAGGTTTCCTTGATTGCTTTTAGAAACATAAACCCAACACTGATATTTAAAAATACTTTCTTCCCAAGACCTGGGTTATCAAAAACCTTTAATCTAACATTATCTTTTTCTGTGATCACATGATTTGATGTTGCATTTAATGCAACCTGATTAAAATTTGAATGGAGTACGAATTGGCACAATGATATGACAATTCTAGGGCAGAGTTTGGGGTATTTCAAAGTACACGGACATTGACGCTAAATCTGTGCTAGTTAGCGCGTTTGCAGCGTTTTTAGAATAGTAAACGACTGGTAACACTATTCACTAGGTTATCCTCAATTTACAGTTAGACGGAACACTATCTATCAGTTAGTTATAGCAGAAAGTAACATGCGGAATATTTAGAAGATATGCAACACTATACTTCTTGTGACCTTTTCTGGAAAATTCATAATGTAAACAAAAGGTCTACGATCGGCAAGGGCTTTAAGAAAATCACAAGAAATAAAGTAGCAGAACAAAACATTTTAAGCTGACTTCAATGTGTTTTTAATGGAACAGAATAATTAGCGTGAAGAAACAATAGCTCATTAACTAATGGCATTCACAGTTTATTACACAGCCAACGTGTGCATCCTCATGAAATAACCATTTCCAAATGTTTCCATTGGTTTCCAGCTGCACCATCTCCGACGGTCGGCTTATTTCTGGACCGACTTTATAGTCCAAGGGGGATTGTATCTCCCAAAATTTCTATTCTGGCAATGGTGCCCAAGTTCCCACTTATCTCAGTCAGTGATCGCAGGCCATTGTCACTTACTAACTACTTTGTGCAAACACTATTAAGGTCATATCTTCTGCTCGACAAACAGATGTGACCGGATCACATTAGAATGTTCGTTAAGTGCTTGTTTCGCTACCCAGATCCAAAGCAGCGTGTGAGACTTTTTGAGGGGTATGTTAAATAGGCCTCAATGAGTCTGTGATAAATTAGGGTTTAGCAATCAAAACTCTCGTTCTCTTTTTTTGCAGGATAATTTATGAGCTACTGAGAGCTACCTGCCAGTCAAAAAACATTATCGCCGCTTTAAATTCTTCGACAGGTTCTTGTTTCCAAGTTATAATATCTAACCAAAGACTTCACATTGAAGGAGTTTGATTGACAATGTTTCCTGTGTGTGAATACCAACATGAGTTTACTATTAGCCATTATATCTGAGTGTGTCTGGAGACCACGGAATTCGTATCTGTACAGAATATGTTACTTCATGGCCTCAATTCATGGGAAGAATCCCAGTTGTGTCTATTCTAAAGCAGAGCCATAAATCATGCAATGACTCAAGGCATAATCTTATTTTGTGGAAAATAGGACAGGAGTGTGCTGGGCCTTTATGCTTCTGGGATTTGCATTCTTAGAGAGTGGACTGACAGGACATCATTGTGACAAAAATGAATAGACACACATTGTATGCTTTGCGAAATGACACGTACTAACCAACTCTTACATTGTATTATCAAGGATTCCAATATTCACATTCCTTTCTACATTCCCCAGCAATAAAAATGGCAGCAAATAAACACAGAGACTTGATTGTATGACATCTTTATAAAAAATGTTCGATTTCAGGGAAGGTCTGAAGTTTTTATTTTTTATTTATTTTATTTTTTTTGTGGCGGACTTGATTTTTGAAAATGTTTGCAATCATTAGTATTTTTACTGTGTATTTTATATCCTTTATAGAAAGGATACATTGAGATTTCTCTTGTTTTCAAGAATGTTCTGGGCCCACAAACACTGCATTGTTACAATAAGGTACAATATCATATTAATATTATAAAATAATATAAAAATGCACATACACATATATAAATCAAAGTGAGTTATAGGACAAGAAGACTCCTTGGGTCACTGAACATCTCGGTGACAAATGGCTTAGATATGTTGTGGACATTGGATGGATGAGGGCGGTGCCTACCCGTACCCCCATTACGCTCTTTCACTTTAACAATCATAGATGAGCGGCCCTCACATTACAGTATGATACAGTATTTAAGGAGTTCATTTTGGGTGTGGCATTGAGATGGAGGAGAAATGGGCATTGACTGAATTTAACTCCAAGTCTTTCTTCCATTTAGTATAACTCAGTGACCATGGAGTTGATTTTTTTCAATAGTATTTAGAATTTCCTTATTGAAAATGCTTTCTTTTTAAATTCATTCACAAATGATGCAAATCAGAGACATTTGGTGCCCAAACCAGCACAGCTTATCGACATGTTATTAACAAGGACAGCTTTGGGTAGCCAAAATCACACACATCAAAATTAACATTAAAGAAGAATAGACTTAAAATCTGGACTCCAGTGAATGTCGCAAAAGGATATTTTCACAAATGAATTAAAAGGGAAATAAAGAATGAACTGTATTTATTATCTTTATTATGTTTACAGTGGAGGGGTGGGGGGCTGCTTGTTTTGTTGTTGTTTTTGTTTTTTAAAATCTTTATTTTGAAAAAACAAAACAAAACACACAGTGCACAAAGCATTCGCAAAGGTAAAAGCAAGTGTACATATGTAAAATCCCATCCATTTTTCAATACACAAAAGGTACAGTATAGTAGCGTTTTATGACACTACCAAAACATTAATAGAATCAGCTGCATTAAAGTATGTGTGACACTAAATAGCAGAGAATGGTCTCTAAGCAGCTGAGATTGTGGCACAAGTTGTGTTATAAGGAGTAGGGCTCGTCAGTAACAATGGTGATGACTATTGGTTTTTAATAAAACGCTTTCATATTGCACCATTCTTCAAAATAAAATTCATACTCCATAATCCTACAAACTCCAAACTATACCTTCCCCTTAAGGGACAAACGTCTGAATCTCTTTTCACAACATTCCGATTTTGACAGGTGTGACGTAACGTATTCACAATGATTCCCACTTTAATGGATAACCATGTTCATGTTTAGTTAATAAACCTGTGACTTGAATTCCATTTTTTGGTTCTTTGGTACTTACTGGGTTGTGTTACCAAGAGCAATTTGCTAAACATTCTTGCTTTCTCATACTTTGTGCACATCTTTGATTGCGTCACCTTTATCTATTCGTTTTATTGTTCCGTACCATCCAGCACATTCCATTACTGTACATCCAGACACATGGGATGAAATCTAAGAATTTGTTACATTGTTTACAGTAACGGTGATCCCAATGGGCTGCATTGGCAGATACCCAGCGATCACTGGCAAGTCTACTGCCACCATGGTTGGCAGAGAACGAATCCTTCCAATTAATTACGGTCTCACAAAACACAGCCCCTATAATTCACCTGGCAATGACACAAAGGAAGTAGGCTGGAAAATTAGACTTTAAAAGGTTCAAGGTTTTAATTAAATTTCACAGCGAGGTCCCCTATGCTGTAATCTCTAAAGGGCTACTGTATAAACCCAATGCTGATCCATTCCTACGAAGAATGAATCTAAGATTTTCACAGAAAAAAGTATTTGATGAGACCAGCTGTTGAAAATTCACGTCACTGAAACTTTACATTCTGTGACATCGCTGAAGAGCCAAAATTAAACACCTCGATTCCTTTGATCTCGTCCGAAACCAGAGCAGCTTTATGGAAGAAGATGGCATTGCACTGACACAATGACACAGATAGCTTTCATTAGGAAAAGCAAAACAGTTCATCTGCCCACATATTCTAAATCTGTGAAAAGTCAAGATTTTCGTCAAACTGATTAGCTAGCCCAGGGGACAAAAAATGACAGATCAATCTCAAAGTGCATCTGTGACTGGTGACAGATATTTTCTTCTGTACGAGGATCTATATGGATTTGACCCCCAACTGCAAAAAAAACCCCCAAAAAACAAACTATTTTTTCTTCCTGACAATCGGATGGATCGCGCGGCGTAAATTGCTGGTGTTGTCACTAGACACTAATGAACGATGATAACTTTTCATTCTGTGATTTGTAGTTTGAAGCCCGAGAGACTTAACCTTCTTCCAGTTTCCGGAATAAATATCCCGTCTATGGGGCTCATTCTCTAAACAGTTGAATGGAGCTATTTTTAAAATCAAGTTACAAATATTGACCAAAATAGTTATTTTTCAAACATTATATAATTAATTTTTAGTTACATCTAGGCCGCTACTTTAGGATACATTGCAATTTCTTTTTTTAGTTTTAATTTGACACAAGTCACTGTTTAGTGGTGTTTTTTCCTTCCCCACATTCTGTAACATTCTCTCTCCCTACATTCTGCGACATTCTCTCCCCATATTCTGTGACATTCTCTTTCTCCCCACATTCTGTAACATTCTTTCTCCCTACATTCTGTAACATTCTCTCCCGGCATTCTGTGTCATTCTCTTGCACCACATTCTGTGACATTCTCTCTCTCCCCACATTCTGTGACATTCTCTCTCTCCCCACATTCTGTCATTCTCTCTCTCCCCACATTTTGTGACGTTCTCTCTTTTCCTACATTCTGTGACATTCTCTCTCTCCCCACATTCTGTGACATCCTCTCTCTCCCCACATTCTGTGACATTCTCTCTCTTCCCACATTCTGTGACATTCTCTCTCCCTACATTCTGTGACATTCTCTGTCTCCCCACATTCTGTGACACTCTCTCTCTCCCCACATTCTGTGACGTTCTCTCTCTCCCCACATTCTGTAACATTTGTCTCCCCACATTCTGTGACATTCTCTCCCTCCCCACATTCTGTGACATTCTCTCTCTCTCTCTCTCCACATTCTGTGACGTTCTCTCTCTCCCCACATTCTGTAACATTTGTCTCCCCACATTCTGTGACATTCTCTCTCTCCCCACATTCTGTGACGTTCTCTCTCCCCACATTCTGTCACATTCTCTCTCCCTACATTCTGTGACATTCTCTCTCTCTCCACATTTTGTGACGTTCTCTCTTTTCCTACATTCTGTGACATTCTCTCTCTCCCCACATTCTGTGACATCCTCTCTCTCCCCCCACATTCTGTGACATTCTCTGTCTCCCCACATTCTGTGTCATTCTCTCTCTTCCCACATTCTGTGACATTCTCTCTCCCTACATTCTGTGACATTCTCTGTCTCCCCACATTCTGTGACACTCTCTCCCCACATTCTGTGACGTTCTCTCTCTCCCCACATTCTGTAACATTTGTCTCCCCACATTCTGTGACATTCTCTCCCTCCCCACATTCTGTGACATTCTCTCTCTCTCTCTCTCTCCACATTCTGTGACGTTCTCTCTCTCCCCACATTCTGTAACATTCGTCTCCCCACATTCTGTGACATTCTCTCTCTCCCCACATTCTTTGACGTTCTCTCTCTCCCCACATTCTGTCACATTCTCTCTCCCTACATTCTGTCACATTCTCTCTCTCTCCACATTCTGTCACATTCTCTCTCTCCCCACATTCTGTGACGTTCTCTCTCTCCCCACATTCTGTGACGTTCTCTCTCTCCCCACATTCTGTCACATTCTCTCTCCCTACATTCTGTGACATTCTCTCTCTCTCCACATTCTGTGACATTCTCTCCCTCCCCACATTCTGTGACATTCTCTCCCTCTCCACATTTTGTGACATTCTCTCCCTCTCCACATTCTGTGATATTCTCTCCCTCCCCACCTTCTGTAACATTTGTTTTCCCACATTCTGTGTCATTCTCTCCCTCCCCACATTTTGTGACATTCTCCAATGTGTAAAAATCTTCCTAACTCCCCATGTTCCACATACAGGACTGTCTTTGATGGTGCTTATCCTTACGGAATATAAAGTTGTTGACAAGCTATGTGACATTCATTTAGCCTGTCTGACATGCATCACAAAGTACACGCTTAATGCCTCTCCTCTCCTCTCTTTTAGTGTTTTGTGCTTGTAATCAGCCTCTAACAAAGGATGCAATCAGTGAAGGGTGCAATCAGTAATCGTTCTAGCAGAGACTGAAAAACTAAAAAGGATTATGGGGAGCGCTCAGGTGTCTCTCTTTCGCGTACGTCTCATTTTAATAGAGTTGATGAGTGACTTTCTGACGGCAATCAATTTCTCTTTTGGTCTTAATGTTAATTAGAATTTGCAGCTCCAGCAATCTAGAGAAGAGTCATTTTTAGATGGCTAAAAATATCCGTTAAATAATTGTCTGTTTGGATGTGGAACCAATGTGTGAGAGTTACCAGCTTTTACTTTAATTTACTGGATTAATTTAACGTCACATTTTGTAGACGTAATGCAACACTCTCTGGCACACACAAATTTTATATAGAAAGTCACATTAATTGAAAGAGTGCTCGCAAAGAACTATTATTTTCAGAATTAAATGTTTCAAGTAAATGTTTCCAGCAGCGAAAGTGATTTAAGAAATGAAAATAAATAAATCACAAAAATAGTAAAGATTTGCTAAAAACTAAAAATATATCTCACAAATAATAATGTATTTTATGAGTCAATATGCCTGGCCCTCACACCTCCAGCCCAAGGGAAAACTTGATGGTCCCTACCAGCCCCGGACTGGCCATCGGGCATACCAGGCAAATGTCCGGTGGGCCGCGATGGCCATGGGCCAAGGCAGTCAGGGGAGATCAAAAGATCTCCCCTGCCGACCTATGCAGAGCCGGCGCTGTCCGAGCCCCGGCTCTGCTGTGTGCCTTCATGGGCCAGTGAAAGGCAGCTGCCGGCTGGGTAGGGAGGGAGACAGGAGAGGACCCGGGAGCTCTGGCTTGCAGCTTTGCCAGGTTCCTCTCGCGAGGTCTGAGCGTTGCCGTGGTTATGATGGCAACACTCCAATCTCGTGAGAATGAACTCTAGCCCCACAGGCTAGAATTCACTCTCACCACGAGGACCACTAGGATCTATCCCCACCAAACACACACACAGTACCTCCAGACATATTTACACACAAAGCACCTTCACACACACAGCACCCTCACACAGAACCCCCCACACACAGCACCCATCACACACAGCACCCATCACACATAGCACCCATCACACACAGCACCCATCACACACAGCACCCCCACACATAGCACCCCCACACACACAACACCCTCACACACAGCACCCCTCACACACTGCACCCCTCACATACACACACAGCACCCTCACACACTGCACCCCTAACATACACAGCACCCCTCACACACACAGCACCCTCCCACACTGCACCCCTCACACACACACACAGCACCCTTACACACACAGCACACACAGCACTCCTCACACAGCATCCCTCACACACACAAATCGCACCTTCGCACACTGCAACCCTCACACACACATCACATTCCAGACACACACTAGATCCCAAACACAACTCTGGATCATCTACACCAGGCATGTCAAACTCAAAGTCTAGCAAATAAACAAGGTTTAAGTTTTTGTGGGTCGCAAAAAAAACAACAACAAATTTTCATAGAAACTTTGGTTTATTTTGAAAAGTACAGTATAAAAAAAACCCTAGCAACTCCCTCTACTAAACTACAGCCCCCCTCTAATAAATCCCAGTCCCCTCCTCTACTAAATCCCAGTCCCCCCCTCTACTAAATTCCAGCACGCTCCTCTAGCCAACAAGCAGACTCCACTTACATTGCCGCTGCCAGTATGCAACTCTAAAGTCCGGCCTATGGTATACCCCAAATGGCGCCATCTGCACCCTGTGCCAAAGTGGATCCTCCTGCTATTTCTTGAAACCCTGTGAAGGTGGAGCACGTCGACGTCACGTCGGAATGTGACGTGGCGTTGTGTGCCTCCGTGCACCTCCAGATAATCCACTGTCCAGATGCGGCCATCGCAACACAGACCGACTCACACACATTCACTGACACACACAGAGACACTCACTGACACACACACACACAGGCACACACGCACACTCACTGACACACACACACACTGACAGACACACACACACCACACAGACACACACGCATGTTTGCCATTGGTGATGACAAAACACCCCCCCTCTGGTCTTGCTCCCTTCTCAGTGGGCCTCTGTGATTAAAAAATGCCCGGGCCAAATTTTTTCCCCAGTCCGGCTCTGGTCCTTACACTAACAGAGTGGGGATATGTCATGACCCACCCCGTTCCTCTCTTCCCATAAAAGTTCTGTTCTCCGGACCCCCCTGTGACAGTCCCCCTAATTATAAGATGTAAAATTAAAATAAGATATAAAATTTGAAAATAAGAATATTAATAATAATAAACAACACATATCCTCCTGCCCGTCAGCTAACTGTAGAGATCCGAGGCTAAAGAGAACCACACCAGCGGCTCCAGACATCCACACCCCTTGACCCCTCACCGTGGAACACCTATGCCGACCCTTATTTACTAAATTGCAAATTGAGGACGTTTCTAAATTTAGACCGAAATAGTCAAAAAGAATGTAAACTAAATCAGCAGAAACATTCCACTGGCCGTTACTGAATTGTTATATCTTTAGATCATATTTGCAATCACAGAACTCCAACCACCATGACCGCTTCTGATTTGTTGAATTGGTCATGGTGGTAGGAGTCTGGATGTGCAGTGTCTCAGCTTGACACACTGCACATCCAATTATATTTTTAACTGTGTGTTGAGCGCAAGTCGCACCTCCAGCAGACATGACTTGTTCCAGTCTGCCTAATGTCAACTCTGTGCATAATTTACGTCTGTCATCAGTGCGCACTGCATGCTAGCAATAGATGTAACAGCTTCTCCCTTGCATGCAAAGCATTCTCCCTATCCCCTCCATAATAGGTTTTACTTCTCTGCCTTCCCTCCTCCTCCTTTCCGTCCCTCCCTCTCCCCCTCCCACCATTTTGGACCGATAGAGTAAGGTTAATAGGGCATTATTCTGTCTTACACAAAAAAGAGTTGGAGAAACACGTTAACTATAAATATCCCCGTTTGGTATTCAGATCCTCCCGCGAACATTAAATAAAAGTGTATAAAAGTATATATACTGGAGTTTGCTTGAAAGTAGACTATTTAAAGTAGTCTCTTTTAAGTAGGAGTTAAAACAACATGAGTTAAAACTACAAGGGAGTTTAAACCAAGAGGGTTAATATTGTTTTTGCTCACTTGTGTTTTTTTGTAACTGGAGATGAGTGCTAGCAAGATTGCGAGTTTAACTCAGTGCACATCATGCCGCATGTATGCATGCCTGGATGATTCTATACAGGATCCATACCTCTGTGGTGGGTGTGAGCAAGTGGCATTTCTGGAAGCTCAGATTAGGGATCTGGAGAGGCAAATTGTAACACTGAGGGAGACTGACAATCTTGAGAGGAGTCTGCTGCTCACTGAGCAGAGTTTAGTGGGGACAGGTAGTGGAGAGGGAGGAGATAAGACAGGCACGTAGCTGGGTGACAGTGGGGCGAGGAAGCAGGGGGGGGAGGGAAGAGAAAAGGTTTAGCTAGTCCTGATCTCATGCAGCCTAACAGATTTGCCCGTTTGAGTGAAGATGTTGGGAGCATCAACTCAGGAGTAGCTGTACTGCAGGAAGCTGTTCCTGCTAACAGCCGTGGAAACAGCCCCTCTAGTACGGGTGGGGTTGAGAGGGTAAGGAAGTCTAGACAGGTTGTGGTGGTAGGGGACTCTATTATTAAGAGAGTAGATAGGGTAATCTGCCACTCTGATCGACTCAACCGGACAGTTTGCTGTCTCCCGGGTGCTCGGGTCCGGCATGTTGCCGACAGAGTGGAGGGATTATTGGGAGGGGCTGGAGATGACCCAGCTGTCATGGTCCATATTGGTACCAATGACAAAGTCAGAGGAAAATGGAAGGTCCTAAAGAATGAGTTCAGGGAACTAGGAAGTAAGCTAAAGAAAAGGACCTCCAAGGTAATTTTTTCAGAAATATTATCTGTGCCGCGCGCTACAGCAGAAAGGCAGCGGGAGATTAGAGAGGTCAGTGCGTGGCTAAAGAGGGTTTGGGGTTATTAGAGCACTGGGCCGATTATTGTCATGATGGATTGCACCTAAACGGAAGAGGGTATGCTGTGCTGGGGGATAGGATGGCTAGAAGGTTGGAGGAGATTTTAAACTAGTGGTAGGGGGGGAGGGTCAAAGCAATCTAGAAAATGGAGATCGGATGGAAAGGAGATGGGTTTGAGCTCAGAACAAACGGGGTGGAGATGGGGGGAGGGGAAATCTCAGAACAGAGGAGGTCAGTGGTGTATCCTGGTTTTGTGCTGCCCTAGGCAGGACAAAACTCAGGCGCCCCACCCCCCCCCCACCGCGCCAGCCCCCTGCCCCACTCTTCCCCCCCGCCCCGCCTTCTAAATACACACACACACATTCACTGACAGATACACATACACTCGCTAACAGAAACACACACACACACTAACAGACACACACTCACTGACACACACACTCACAGACACACACACAGTCAGACACACACACTCACTAGCAGACACACACACACACACAGTCACACACACACACTAACAGACAAACTCAGTCAGACACACACACTAACAGACACACACTCACTAGCAGACACACACACAAACTCACACACACACAAACTCACACACACACACACTAACAAACACACACTCACAGGCAAACACACTCACACTAACAGACACACACACACACTCACAGGCAAACACACACTCACTGACACACAGTCAGACACACACATACACACTAACAGACACATACAGTCAGAC